ATTACTGAAAATGTAAATTCTAAATATGAAATACTCAGTGCATTTATATTCATCTTTAATACTTCAACTTATTTAAAAACTGAAAAAACATCTGAAGTGTGAAATTATTACAAATTTTTTTTTTCTTGTTTAGGAGTGTTCTCAAAAATGGGTGACAGAAATTCACTTTTGCAAAAATCGAGCAGGATATTAAAGACAGGCAACTATAGAACAAATATGGCGAAGCTAATGAAGTCATGTGGAATTTTATTATTGAAAAAATATGCTCTTCAGATTTAATGTTAGTTTTTATTGTTTAACAGTAATTGCAGTTTTCGAATACTGTAAAATAAACCTAATTCTTAAATTATTTCATGTGTATTTCTTTTGCAAGTATTACAGTTTTAATACTTCAAACACTTGAAATTTTATACTTGTTATTTATTGGGATATGTTCATAAATTTTATAATTTAAATACTCATTGTCATCATATGAGTAATCTAAAATGCACAGCATTTGACAACAATTAATAAAAAATTAGCCAACTTCTAATTGCTTTTTTTGTCCAGTTGCCTCTTTTAAATCATTTAATACCATAAAGCTATTTGATGAAAAAAAATAATTGTATGTGCACATCAACATGTACATTATAATGAGTTATAGAAAAAGTCACATGAGATAAATATTTAAAACTTAATATCTAAACAATTTAACTTTTTAAAATTTATCTGGTATATAAGGTAAAATAAAGAACATATTTAGGTAATTTTGATTTGCATAATTTATGAAATTAACCGTTACATGTAAAGGGAACTTTTAAAAATACCTCAAAGCATTTCTTGTAAGGTGAACTTTTAGTACTGATCTAATATATTTATAAGATAAACTGAAAAAGACAACAATATAGATTACAAGATTGACTGATAATGCAAAATTTTTACATATCATAATTGTGTGTATTAAAACAGAAGTTTACTTGATTACTTGCATGCAAATTAATAGTTTTTAACTGTTTGGGGATACTGAATTTTAATAAATAAATATGCATAGATTTGTGTATTATCTGAAGATATGAATGAAATATTTGTGACATTAAACATTCATCTTCAAGGAAAATAACAAAGTCAACTTGGTAACTATTGGAAAAGGTAAGTTTTCTACATTTCCTGGCTATATTAACAATTTAAAAATTTAGCACACTCATTCAATAATCTAAACGTATGATTGTTTTCTTTGTGCTACATTCGTTTACTGAATTTGTTAATTAACTAATTGGATTTTAGATAGAAATTAACGTAGATATTCCTGTACTTACGGTACAAAACTTATATATTTGATAATATTGGCCTAAATCTCCCTATGTTTTCTTGCATATACAAATGACTTTGGTAAAAATTTAGTCAATGTCTTCTCCCTTTACTGTGTATAAGTGCACATTTTTGGTAAAAAATTGCATAATCTCCAATTACCTATTTATGCATTTTCATAAAATGTGCTTATTTCTTATTTTTATAAATCATCAAAAATGTTCTGCATATTATGATTAGGATAAAATTAATATCAAATTTTTACATACCACCTTTTCGGTATGTACAGCATATGGAATATATATAACTGGAACAAAAATTGATTTCTATTCAAAAATTACATAACACTAAAGGCTGGAAATCACTTTAATATTTCATTTCAAAGTGACTACAAAATATGCAATAAATTTTGTAAACCTGAGTTCTATGTTTTAAATCAATTAATGCTATCGTTCATTTACATGGCATAAGAAAAATGTCCTTCAGAAAAGCAAATAATTTATTTAAAGTGTTCTTTAGTAACAAATGTTTGCTACAGTTTTTTAGTAAATTTAAATTTATGAAATGAATTTAATAAACAAAATGCAAATGAACGATGGCATTAATTGTTTAAAACACAGAATTGATGTTTACTAAATTTTTGCATATTTTGTAGTCACTTTGAAAGAAGCCTTTAAGGTTATGTAATTTTTAATAGAAATTTATTTTTTTTGCATTTACTAGTGCATTTAAATTTCCCAGTTATATATCCCTATTGCTGTAATAACTAAAAGGAGATATGTAAGAATTTGATAAAAATTTTTTTACCTTTAATCATAGCATACGAAGTTTTCGCATAGATTTATATAAAAATATGAGATTAAAATAGTACATTTGAAAAATGCAGTGAAAGGTAAAGATTTATCAAATTTTTACCAAAAAATGTACATTTCACATAAAGTGGAGAATACATCGGATTAAATTTTTACCAGTCATTCATATGCAAAGAAAACCTAATATATACGTTTATATACAGTAAAAATCGGGGAAATTTACGTAATTTTTACTAAATATATACGCATACGGAAGCAAAAATTTGAGATTTACGATATGCGATAAATATACGTAAATCCCTGAAATTTACGTATATTTATACGTAAAGTTGCGAATGAACAGTAGTCTCTCGCGTAAATATACCTAAATTTTTACGTAAATAATAATATACGTAAAAATATGTAAATATTCCACTGGGCACTTTTATGTTTTTTACGTTCAACTTGACGTTTTTTACGAAAGGCCATTCGTAAATTGCACGTATTTTTCTCGTGCAATTTACGAATGCATGCTGCCTGGGTAGTTCCAAAAGGTATATGGGCCGTACCTGCCAGAATGCTCCATTATACTGGGTGGGATCTGCGGATCAAATGCACAATTTTCTTATATAAAAATTTAAAAAAAAAATTCTTTGTAAGATTCAACAGAAACAGAAGCCATCAGGCATACCAAATGTACAATAACAAAGGCTTTGAGTTAAAGCTTTTCACAGTGCATGTTAGGGAAAGTACTAGCCTGAAGTGATTAAGAGTTTGGAAGGAATTGATCTCTTAGAGGGAAAATTTTGATGGATTTGTTAAAGATAAACTGTAACAAATTTGGACTAATTGCAACAGACTTGGAGCAAATAGTAACAATAAAATTGGCCATATTTAAAAAACATTTGATAATTATTATCACTTATAGTGACACTGAATGATATCAAATAATTTATAGTAAAAAAAAATTGTTTAACTAATTAACATACAATCAGTCTTCATCAGATTTGGAACATAAACAAATGACAGCTTGTTTTTCTCACATTTAACATGTGTCTACATTTTGCAAAGTAAGCATTGCACTTACTCTTCTTCTTCACAGTCATTGCAAGCACATTCACAAAATTGAAATCACTTCAATATCACTGTTTTGGAATCTGTATCCGAATTTAAAATTCTTTTCTTCACCCATTTTATCACTTCATTTTTTTTTTCGATTTTTTTTTCTCTTCCTTTTTTATTTTCTCATTAAGTATCTTTTCACATTCTTTTTCTGATGCTTCCTTTTTTTGTATTTTGGGGAAGAAAAAATAATATAGAAAAAAATATAAATATATAGAAAAAAAGTAATTTCCATGTTAACATTTAAAGAAGAAAATCTAACAACATAAAACAAAATCTAGGGGCAAGTTATTGCTACAATTGGCCCCGAGATTTTGTTACAACATATCTTTCACATTACTTTGGACATTTCTGTTGATTTATTAAAATCCATTGCTATAGTAAAAAAATTAAACCTAATACGTAGATAAAATAAATAAGTAAGACTATGGCAAAAAAAGATCAATTAATTTACTTTAAATCAAAATTTCTGAATTTTTTTTCCCATTAACTAGCTAAAACAGAGAACATGCATGCAGCCTCAAACTACCCATTTTGGCAGTGCGCTGACTGTGTTTATATAATAGTGCATACCATAAAAATAAAAATTTAATGAAAATTCTGATTGAACATTAAAAAAAAACTATTTTGCATAATGTGTACGTTACTACTTGCACCTGTTATAATTAGCCCCTAGCTCTTCTCTTAGACATTGAATTCACAGAGTTCATGAAATACTCAAAATCTTTTGCACAATAATTTGAAAGCAGAAATAATATTAGAAATAATTGTTTACAAGGAACATTTTTCATACCATCAAGCAGAGTACCAAGATTTAAGAAATTCAAATACTTCACAATTATTTTATGATGAAAGGAAAATATTCAATAAGTAATGAAAAAATTATAAAAATCAGGGTTTTGATGAATTCAATGCAAAGATATGATCAAAAGAAAAGTCTAAAATTGCAACCCAAAAATAAAGACAAATCCAACAAATATTATACAAACCTTACTTTTTAGTGAATGAATTAATATTTGTAAACAGTTATAAATATAACAGATATCAAAATATACACAATACATGGAGTTTCTAAATTACTTTGGTTTTCTACTCTTAATTGACTTTTAATTAATTTAAACTCTAGTCATTTACTTGCTCTGTCTCAAAATTCTACTGTTTAAATTTAAATTTCTTTTTTTGTAATTCCACAACATTTGATTTTACTTTTGATTTTGAATTTTACTTTAACCCTTAAACTTTTACCAATGCTGGATGAATTAACTGAAACACTAGTAAGGACATAGGATTGTTTTTAATTCTATACATTTCTTTCTGCAGAGAAAGAAAAAAAAAAAAAAATGTGGAGAAGAGGATATATAATATCTAATCAACGAATCCAAATTTGACGATAAGTTAGCGCCGATCATTTTAGTTTAGCTAGATGTGGAGACGAGAATTTCGCGAGCAAGTAATAGTTGAAAATAAACTGCACTTTTGACCAGAATCGGAAAAAAATCCCATCAAATAACCGAAACTATTACATTATTAGAAGAAATGACAATGAATTCTTCAATCTTTACACATTTAGTTAACCATAACTTCCTGTAAGTGAATTATATATCAATACATGAATGTGCACCAAGTATTACCATTAGCTGATTTCGAATATATAATGTCTTTCTAGTTTCTTGCAATAAGAATCAAAACTCTACATATTCTTCCTGTTGACATTTATGATTTGTTAAGTTGGACAAAAGTTTCCAGATTTTATCAATAGCTCCTAAGCTGAATATGAAAATAAAATTAAAGATATCTTACTTTTACATCTGGAATATGCAGATTCAACGTGAAATCCAGTTCAGTAGGAACGCGTCTAGTTTTACCAGTAATATAGCGGTTCATATCAGCAATAGCAGAAGGCAATGATATACTGAATTCATTGCTATCTGGATACATGCTACTTAGCATTTCAATTTCAGATAATTGCAGTTCAAAATTGTAAGAGAGTACAGTATCCTCACTTGCATTTACTTCCATAACATTCATTTACGTAAACTTCATAAATATAATTTTATATCTTTATAATTTAAATACGTTAAATTAATTTGCAAATGTATAAATAGATATGTATTTATTTCTTTATATGCACCGCAGACAAGCACAGATTTCTCTGCCATACTCAACGTAAACAAATATCGCACTAACTTGCCACGATAAATGTAAACAAATACAATAATTTTGCAACGCAGCTTGAAACAATTTCGTTTCCGTGGTCTTGGATTTGGATGCATTTAAATGCAACTCACTTTGTAAAAAAAAAAAAAAAAAGTTTATAAAAACCGATACTAAGAGTATGTTAAGAACTTTCTTTGAAATTCAATGCTTCATGAACGTCTCTAAAATTTTTTAGTTTAACACATATTTTCGTTTCTTTCAGGAAGATGAAGCAGAATTCGTAATTTGTCAGAAGTTTTATAATACTTTAAAACTAAATGCAAATAAAGTAATAAAGTAAATGCAAATAAAGAATGTTTTGCAGTGTTTCTTTGAATTTGTTAATATTTAGACTGGTTATATATATAAATAGATATAACTATTATTATTGTTTGATTTCTGCGTATAAAGACTTAAAGAATGCAAAACGAGCCCGCGTGCTAATGTTTTCTATATCTACGTCGAAATAATTTGTGAATTTTAAATAACAGGTTTTATAGTGTAATTAAAGGAAAGAAACATATGTGTTTAAAAGTAATTCAACATTTAATTATAGTTGTTTTGTCTTAATATTCAAAAACATAATTTTATAGAAGCGTGACCAGAAATAAAAGTTATAGCATATTTGCATGTTATTATCAAAGAATTATCTGTCCATTTAAAATATGCCCATTTGTACGAAGTGTGAAAAGAATCCTGCTACAGTGAAACGCCCGAAAACAGTAAGTATTTCTGTGAAATTTCGTGAGTTTTTGTACTACGAGTTATGGGCATAATTTATTTTAAAGATTTAGGTTGTTTAACTGCAGTGATTTTTGGGGGGGGGGGTAAAACAGAGGATCGCCTAATTATATAGTGCGTATCGATGTGTACATGGACAAAGTCAATTCTGTTCTCAACTATGATGTTTCTGGAAATGTAAATAGAAAAAGGCCAATGGCTGTGTTAAGACACATCACTTTGCATTGTTTTGTATTATATAATCTTTGTATTGTATACTCAGTTAATCTGTGTTCCTAATGATAATTAGCCGCACTCTTACCATGTTATACCTCTTATGTTCCTTTCCATTTATGCTTTCTCTTCATTACTGCTATTATTATGACACA